CTTGATCTCGCTGTCCATTTCCTCTTTCCATTTGGCAGCGTTAGGGTCTGCCATCACTTCCTTGTAGTTAGCTAGCTCATCCAAATTTATCAGTGTTTAATCACTGATAAACGTATCACCATCTGACGTTATATGGAAACCATAGAACATTAGTGGCCTGCGAACTCTACTGGAATGACGAAGAGGTAATGAATTGTCAACTGGGTCAACTGGAATTTCTTCCTTTGGTTCAGTGCTAGTGTCTTCTAAGGTTTCTTCATTGGTTGACTCTTAAATCTCTTCAAGGTCAATTGTGCTCCCACTGTCCTCTTTACATATGAGCTCTCTCGCGAAAGACTCATCTTCGTGCTACAAAGACCACATTTTCACTACGTCTGTAGAACAAGTATCTAAAGGACCTTTGTGGGTAGCCAATGAAAATACGTCTCTCACTTCTGTCTTCTAACTTGTCATGAGTCTCTCGTCTAACAAAAGCTTCACAGCCCCAGACTTTGATGTGTGCTAACGAGGAAACTTTCCTCGTCCACATCTTGTGAGGTGTTTTGACAACCTTTTTAGTTGGGATAAGATTAAGGATATGGGCAGCTGTCTCTAAGGCATACCTCCAGAAGCAAATGTGAAGAGTGGCACGACTCATCATGGAACAAACCATGTCCAAAAAGGTCCAATTTTTCCTCTCAGCCACACCATTAAGTTGTAGTGTTCTAGGATGAGTCATTTGTGAAACTATTCCACATTCCTTGAGGTAGTCGTGGAACTTGATACTAAGATACTTTCCTCCTCTATCTGACTGAAGCGTCTTTATCTTCCTACCTAATTGATTCTCGACTTCATGTTTAAACTCTTTGAACTTTTCAAAGGTTTTTTATTTATGTTTGATCAAGTAGATATAACCATACCTACTATAATCATCCGTAAATGTTAGATAAAATCGATTAGCATCCCTTGTGGTGGATCTGAAGGGTCCACACACATCTGTGTGTATGAGGTCCAACAAACCTTCACCTATTTCACAAGATCCACTGATAGGTGATTTTGTCATCTTGCCCAAAAGACAAGATTCACATTCATCATTTGGCCTTAGGTCAAATGATTCCAAGACTCCATCCTTTTGGATTTGGGCGATGCATTTCTTGTTAATGTGCCCAAGACGATAATGCCACAAGCATGCCTTGTCTAAACAATTAGATGAATCAATGTGAAATACACTATTGCCAAAGCTATCAACACAAGTCACAGTTTCATACACACCATTACAAGGTAAAGCTTTAAATATAAAAACACCATTTTTATAAACCAAAATTGAACCATTCAAATCATTAAATGAATAACGAAAACCTTGTCTGAACAATGCATGAAATGAAATAATGTTTCGCGTCATTTTTGACAAATAACAACAATCTATGAAATCTAAACTAACTTCACTACTAAGCACAAGATGATAAGTGACAGTATTGGTAACAGGAGAAGCTCGCCTATTTCCCATGATTAGATTCATCCTCCTACGCACCACCTCTTCTCTTTCTTTTAGTCCCTACAAATCAGAACAAATGTAAAAACCGCATCCTGTATCAAGGACCCACGAACGAGCAGATTGTGAGTTATTAGTTTGAATAGTCTATATACCTAATGATGATGGCTTCACCTTGCCATCCTTGATGTCTTGAAGTTACTTGGGGCAGCTCCTCTTCTAATGACCCTTGTTATTGCAATCGTAACAAGTGGCCTCTTTGGGGTCACTAACAGTTGGAATGTCTGAGTTGGGCCTTGCATTTGGGTTATTGCTAAATGACCCAACTTGGGCCTTGTTCTTATAATTATCTTTGGGAGCAACCTTCCTCTTCTTCCATTTTCCTTTACCAATGGCGAGAACATGAGCATTAGAAGGGGTTGGATTCTTTCCTTTCATTCCTAACTCAGCAGTCCGTAGCAAGTTGTGGAGTTGGGCCAATGTGGTTTTTGTGTTGTTCAAATGATAAGCTAATATGAACTAATCATAACAACTTGTCAAGGAGTTCAAGACCATGTCAATGGCCAACTCCTCGTCAAAATGCATATTTAGCCTAACAAGGTGTTCTACGTATCTTTGCATTCTCTGCATGTGGTTGCACACAGACTCTCCCTCTTTCATCTTGAAAGCCATGAGAGACGTGACCAATTCATATTTCTCTTGACGAGCTCTCTTGTGGTACTTTTCCACAAGGTCATTGTTCATCTCATAAGGACAGTAGTCCTCATAGAACCTTTGCAACTCAGGATCCATTGTAGCGACCATGATGCAAGAAATTTTTGTTGCATCATCGTAGTGTTTCTTGTAAGAGGCTAGTTGTTATGGAGTAGCTTTGGCTTCATCGATTTCAACAAATTTCTCTTCAAGTACATATTCTTTGCCCTCGAATTGAAGAGCCAAATGTTACACATCAAATCATTGTAGTTGGTACCATCAAAGTTCACCTTGGACACGATAGAGAATAGGGAAAAACCCGACTGGTGGGTAGATGACGAAGGAGCAGAAGCATCACCAGGAGTAGACATCTATAGAGAAAAAGAAATAGTTTTAGTTAGATGAGAATAATCCTTAATATTTTAACCCATAATAAATAATTAAGGCTAGGATCCAAAATAAAAATTTATAACTAAAAAGAGGGATGTCGTAATCTTATTGCGAATTTATAAAGGTAGGTAAAAGCAATTTACCAATTTCGAGCTATGAAAGTCCTAGATCTTTTGAGATTCATTGAATCTATCAATGACATGTTTAATAGCATATCATGCTCTATTATTTTTGACTGGGATACTGAGGATCACAAACAAGATGTGAATAACCATACAAATATGTTTGACACTCTCGATGTCATTTATTATCTCATATTAACGTGTTGGTTAACCACACGCGCTCCATTAATCAATGATAATTTTTGAGATGCCCATTATTACTCTTTATAGTCACTATTAGTGTGTCGATTAACCACATGCGCTCCACTAACTACTATAAGGTATAATCTGTAATTTTATGGATTAGCATACTTTTCACATTTTTCCTATAGTAACTAAGAGTGAGATTTTATAAAATGGTTTAGTTACTTTATATTATTATACTTATGAAGTTATTGTCCTATCAGATCTGTTCTGCTAACGACCCTTCACTAAACAAGGAAGCGGTGAGTGAGAGTGGACACCCATTCAACCGCCATTTTATAGGCAGTTTCCTTATACACCCCCCTATAGTTCAGCTTCGTGAATGAGACATACTAGCGATCTGACTGACTTAATCTTATACATATAGTAATTAACTTTTAATATTATATATATAAGATATATTTTAAAACTTTTCAAAATACTAGGTTTAAATTAAAATTTCGAAATTAATTTAATTTAAAATAAACCAATTATGTTTTTAATCTTAATCTTTTAATCAATCAAATAATTAAATATAATTAAAACATAAGGATAATTCATAAATTCAAGATAAGGATATATAATTTAAAAGATAATTATTCAGTTTTATACAATTAAAAAACATTATCTAAAGTAATTATCCTAATCAATTTATGAATTAAGCAAAAACAATTTTCGCTTATCTGAGGGTCCACCACGTCGTGGCCGACAATTGTCGCGTCGTGGTCTAACGGAAAAAGACGCGGATTCGAAGATCACCACGTCGTGGCAAAAGAACACCATGACGTGGTGCCGCAACAGAATGTCGATTTTGTTTCCTTCACTTGGGTTTTGTTCAAGTTCAAGCAATGTACATTCAATTGTTAGACAACTACACGCTCTGATACCACTGATGGGTTTTACATGCAATAACGCGGAAATCCTTATACACTTAAGGGTACATGCAACCTATTAGATCTAGTCATAACTCTATTGAAGTAACATTCTATTGAACAACAAGAACCCTATAATCCAAGGTAATTTCGAAAAACAAAGGAGAAAAACATACTTCTTGATTGTTGTAATAAAGAATCAACCAATCCTTCCGGTAGTTGCTTGGAAACTAGCACTAGAAATATTATGCCTCTGATGGTTCACACCTAACCCTAGCAACAAGGAGGCTTAAGAGATAGGAAAGGGGATGATGGAATTTTTGGCTATCTCTTGTGAAGGAGGATTGGCCAAAAACCCAAGGCCAAGGATCCTTTATATAGTGTAACTTGGAAACCATAAATAACCCTAATTTGAATAAAATAATATTAGTTCAAACTGGTAATTATCTAGCTTCCTATTTATCTGCAAGGAATATTCCAGATGCCCTGGATACCCTAAAAACCGCCCACCCTTTCCAAGGAAGATTCTGGAATCTCTCTTGTTCAACTATTAAACAATTACACTTTAACCCTTGCACTTTTAATTAATCCCAAAATTAATTTTAATTAATTTCTGATTAATTCTTAATTATATATTACTATTTCTAATTAATATATTATTTTCATAACATATTAATCAATTCATTTATTGTTATTTATTAATCATATAATAAATCAATAAATCATTCTCTCTCTCTAAAAGTCATCCTATTCAATTACTAGGTTTGAGGGCAACCCAAAAGGACTTTGCTAATAATTCAAGTATATACTATTTCAGTTATTGGCTTAGAAACCTAATTCAACATGTTTTACATCCGTTTTAAAAATGAAAAAAGTTTGGTCTGAAATTTAGGACATTACATGTGAATTTATTTATATTGACAAGCAGATGGTACATGTTTACGCTTACTACAATGAGGGTTTTTGTGCCAAATCTATTACGTACCTATGGGGTGTGTGTAACAATTAGTGATGTGGATTTCGAACAAATGGAGTATCCCAACTTAATAAATTACGTTGGTAGTTTGAAAAATTGTTTAGTCAAAATCTTTATTACTTTGTTGGAAATCAAGCATGGGCAAGAAGCTTGAAGTTATTTATGTGTGATTTATATTTCAAACAATGCATAATTGATGGATACAATTTAAGGGTGGTCTCACTTTTATATACATTAACCATTTTGGCAAGGACATGCTAGATTTGATTGTAGAGGAAATTATTCATCTTGATGGGACAGATTTCATAAATGAACAAGATGAGGAAGACGATGACATTGAGTATGAAGACTTCAAGAGTATGAAGACAATGGTTTGTTTGATGATTGCCCAATAGAAAAAGAAATTTAAAAAGGAGAAAATAGCAACCAACACTAGCCATGAGGTTCCATTTTTTAATGTGTTGTCTATTAATAGTAATTTGGGAAATGCAGAAAAAAATAATAATAACAAATAATAATAATAATAATAATAATAATAATAAATCCGACAATGGCCCGATCTTAAATTGAAAGACCATGATACCAATTTGTGGCATGCTCTTTGAATAAAAAGATCAACTAAGAAACTTACTTACAAGTTACTCAGTTGCAATTGCAACAGACATAATTTGCATTATGAGACCAATGACAAACTTCGAGTAGTTGTGCGTTGTGGGAGACCAAAAAAGATTTTAAAAAAATGTTTGTTGTTTTGCCTTTGTACATCATCGATAACCAACAAAAGAAGTTTTCAAATTAAGTCCTTGGAAGCAAGACAGAATTGTACAAAGCTGACATTTAGTAAAGCTTTATTTTAAGTCTAGTGTTGAAGTAGTGTAAAAGAGCCATAAAAGCTGCTTTAGTAGAGCTTGAAGGTTGTTTGGAAGCCCATTATGCAAAATTGGTGGAGCTATATAGAGGAATTAGGGAAATCTAACATTGGTTCAACTATTAAATTAGATTTTAAATTTTTAATGCCATGCAAGTTAGAAATAACTACTTTAATCATTTCTATGTTTGTTTCAAGAGTGTAAATAATGGGTGGATAGAGGGTTTCATGAAAGTAATTAACCTAGATGGGTGCTTTTTGAAGGGTGTTTGTCAAATGGGGTTGCTTTTAACAGTTAGACATGATGCAAACAATCATATGTACGTATCTGCATGCACTGTTTTTTTCATTGAAAACAAGGAGACATGAAACAATTTATAGAATTGGTGATGGAAGACATAAGAACAGATATTAGCATCGATGATGGAATAACAATCATCTTTAACGAACATAAGCTATATGTCTGTTCCTAAGATTCTTTGGTTTCATGTTATACTTTTCAATCTAAATTTTGTTATTGGTTACAATGGATTAATAGAAATTATGAAAGAAATGATACCACATGCAGATTATCGCGAATGTGCAAGAAATATACACGAACTTCAATAATAGATTTAAAGGTGACCTATACCAAAAAAAAATCGAAAATAAGTCAAGTCCACAAGTGAACAATCTTTCATTATTTCCATGAACCAAATCAAGTAAATTAGTGTTGATACATACAAGTAATTAATGGAAAAGATATTCGAAACATGGCATAAGACCTTCATTGAAGTGGATATCGTATGTGATGCAGCTGAGAATGAAGTGCCTGAGAGTTTTAATTGCACAATCATACATAGTCGTCCAAGGTCAATAATTGCAATGTTGGAAGAGAAATTGTTGCTTGATTCAAGGTTGGTATGCGTAGATTATCGCGAATGTGCCAAAAACATATATATGAACTTCAAAATTATAGATTCAAATGTGCCTTCTAAAAAATAATTATCAGAAAGAAGTCATGTCCACAACCGAACAATCTTTCACTTTTTCCATGAACCAAAACAAGGAAATTAGTGTTGATACACACAGATACTTAATGGAAAAGGAACCCAAAACTTCGTACAATGTCTTCGTTGAAGTGGATATGGTATGTAATGCAACTGAGAATGGAGTGTCGGATAGTTTTAGTAGTGCAGTCATACTTAGTCGTAGGAGGCCAATAATTACAATGTTAGAAGAGAAATTATTGCTTGATTCAAGTTTGGTGTGTGTGTGTGTATATATATAGAGAGAGAGAGAGATCTTTGGTGTTATAGTGAATGGTGTACTAGGGTATTTAACATATAAATCAGACAACAATAAAATACTAAAATACCCTCACATAAATGACACATGATTTGAGTTAATGATTAAAATAAGACAATGACGCATAAGTACCATTCATGCAAGTTTTAGAAAACATAGAGATCATTCATATAAAAAAAAAGGGCAGTGACTTAGTTTGTGGCTATTTGTAAAGCATGGACTATCTATGTAATTTTTTCTAAAATTAATGGTTATTAAAAAAATTAAAAAGATATCTATCTATTATATAATAGAAACTTTTATTAAAAAATAGCTATTTTTCTCTTATTGATAACACATAAACCCTTAAAATTTTCTCTTATTGATAACACATAAACCCTTAAATTAAAAATTCATAAAAGCACTTGTAATTCCCCAAGAGTAGTCGATGTATTATTTCAATATGGTGATAAAGGGGCCGTTTTGTCATTCAGAACTTTTGAACCTTCCTTCTCTCCGCTCACGCTCACTGTGTGTGTCGATCGTTCGCCAAGGCCATCGGCGTTCTTCCCGTTGTCGGCGTCTCCTTCCTCCATCTCCGATCAGGTAAGTTTCACCTCCGATTTGGTTTTCCTTTTTGTGTCGATTTTCGTTTCTCATCAGCAAAGAAAACGCCTCTGTCATTTGTTCCACTGTATTTGATTTGTT